TTGCAAACTTATGCTGGAAACATCGGTTGTAACTAGCTATACCAAGAAAACTGCGCAACTCAGCCATTGTAGTCAGTGTAGGCTAATTTTCCACCACAGCCACCTTCTTTGGATTCGTCTTGACACCCTTAGATGTCACAATATGGCCTAGATATTCCACCTCCGACTTTGCAAACTCACATTTGCTCTTCTTCGCATAAAGTTTGCTGTTTCGGAGTAATAAAGGAACCTTGCACAAATGCACCTTATGCTCCTCCACATAACTTAACTGAAATGGATGCCGATAAATTGGCTGCATCCCCAACTCCAATGTAATCCCATGCTCCACACCTTGTAATGGAGGCAACCCATGAGGAAGTTCAGATGGAAAAACATCAGAAAACTCATCAAGTACATCCCGTACTACTGCTTCTCCCCCACACGTGCCTTAGTCCCCCAAGTCACAAACAAAAAGCAAGTAACTCGAAACTGCTTTTCTATTACGACAAGCCCACTTTAAAGATGTAGTAAAGAGTATAACAACTGGTGGTTGAATGCCCTCGCCAAACCACACATCTTTAACGCCACCATACTCCAACAAGACATGCTTAATACTCCACTTTATCTCTGGATCCACCTTCACCAACCATGGCATCCCAAGAATAAGATCCACATGATGGATATTTGTGAGATAAAAAGTCTCCACAAGTGTGGTGTTGCCAACCAACACTTTCAGCCCCTCGACACAAGCATCGAAATGCTGAGCAGAGGTAGCTGCACCTTCCACCGTGTATGGAAGAACTCCTCGTGTGACCAGGCCATGCTCCGCAACAAACATTGCCGAAACAAAGTTGCCATCACTCCCACTATCCAATAAAATCTGCACTGGATTGCTACGGAACACACCCTCTAGCATTAAAGCTAATTCACGAGTATCCTTAAGCGCCATCTTGTTCCATATATAGTTGAGCTAACGAGCAATGATTGAAAGTCGCTTCCTCCAACCGGAATGGTCATTCTCGTCATCCTCACGTTGCAAAGTTTGCAACTTTTTAATATCTGACTTACCGTGAGTAAAAGATTAGCCATTCTTTTTGTCCTATTGCTTGTTCTTCAACTGTGGAAAATCAGCCTTCTTGTGTCCAAGTTTGCCACAATGATGACAATATCTATAATTCTTCTTAAAGAACTTTTGCTTCTTGGACCCCTTTGCATCCAAAGTAGTCACCACCGACTTCAACTTGTGATGCTTGTTCCCATCCTTGTGTCCACGATGATCATCACAACAATTCTCAATAGAAGGACTTTGTGAACACTTGCAAGACTTGTGCTTGTCATTATCAAGTCGATGAGCCGCATCAAAGAGCTCCTCCAAACTCTTTGTTGGACTTGTTCTGATCTAGATCCTTTGTTGGAACACGACTAATCAAATGAGTACGTTTCTCAATATAGTCCTCGAGCGTTAACTAGCTAAAGGGGTGATCACTTGATTGCGAGACTTGTGCTTGTCATTTTTAAGTCAATGAACCGCATCAAAGAGCTCCTCCAAACTCTTTGTAGGACTTGTTTTGATCTGGATCCTTTGTTGAAACACAATTAATCAAGCAAGTATGCTTCTCAATATAGTCCCCGAGCGTCAACTTGATCACTTGATTGCAGAGCCCTTCTTTATTCTATTATCCTAACCTGGTGCTTAACAATCCTCCCCTCGTCAGGGAATAATCGTCCGCGATCATACTTAGGCCACCCTCCAGTCACCATGGTCCTTCTCTTAGGGTCTACCAAACCTTGGTTCTCCCTCTAGATCCACCATGTTGAATATTCTTACCCCACTCGTTAGCCACGAGAATCGAACTGGTTTCCGATACCAATGTTAGGATCTTATCCCTTACACCCTAAGCCAAGGGGTGATCATTTGATTGTAAGGCCCTTTTCTTTATCCTATTATCCTAACCTAGTGCCTAACATGTGTGTGTTTGCCATTATTATATATGGCAAGCCAGCTATATAAAATAAGGCTACGTATTAATTATGTACTAGTTTTTAGCTTTTGAAACTTTATAGCTAGTTGTGTCTAATAGTAAGTTGTAATTACCGAGATTGACAATTATGATTCAATATATTGCCATATCATAATAAAACGTCATTCCCGATATTGAAATGTAATATATTAATCAAAGAATTTTTATTGTTGGAGAGTTTATTTCTTCTTATCTGTTTTAATGGTTCGAAAGAAGTTTACTTTTGGTCCCAAAAGCTTCCTATATAAATCTCCACCATTTCCAAGCTCAACAAAAAATCCATCTTCACCTCTACACAACAATCATCTTTTTCATTTTGAGAGGTGTTGTGAAACTTTTTCATTTGTGACCTCAAGTGCAATTGAACATGAATTTCCTTTTTATAATGTTTTTAAAAGAGTTGGATTGCCTTCAATGCTCCAAGAGTGATATTAATATTTTCTTCAAGATTTTGCTCTAGATATGGTAGGAGTGCCTGATGTAAATATGTATTATCTTTAGTATCTTATATGCTACTTTTATTTGAACAAGACAGATGGTTGCATGGGTTTGGTAAATTTTCTTGAGCATTGTCTTAAATGCTTAAGAGTGGGTTTGGAAAGTGTGCATATGTGGATGTACAAGAAAATCAAAAAAGAATTAAAGACACACAGTTATTATGATTTGATCCCAATTAAATTTATTGATACCATCTGTAAGCAAAAGTAGGGTAAATAAATTTGGCTCAAATGCTTGAGTGTGTGATTCTCTCCACAAAGTATATCACTATGCTTGTAAAGGAGTACATAATTAAAACAAAAGATGGAGAATATATAATTGTCATTCAAGACCTTCCTTTTTACATATATCTAGACTTTATGAAACACAAAAAGCATGAGAAGGCATATACTCTTTACAAATATATATACTATATCTTAAACAATATCTTGCATTAGAATTTTAAAATGGATATTCATATACATCAAGCAAACTTTACTATTGCTAAATTGCAAAAGACTTTTGGAATTAACTAGATTTTTTAAGACCATTAATAATTTTTATTCTCTATCAATAATATAAATTTATTATACTTTATAAAATTAATAAAAAAACATTTTTTCATTTCACATTTCATTTTATATACTTGCAAGTGCTCTTTTCACAATACTGCTCATAGTATTCAAATGTTTCCATGTCTGTCTTTACCACCTCAAAAAATATTTCATTGTAGTTTTTTAGGTACGTGATGTTATAGTGTGTCGCAAAAGTATATATACCATCATACTGATCATCGCCATTGTTTCCACCAAAAGCTAGAAAATTTATAAAGCATTTGTTAAAAGTCATAGAATTGCAATTTTCTAAAATAAATAAAAAAGAATTCTTTTTCACCCAATTTGTTGCACCTTCTATCATTACATTTATTTCCAACTTGTGATCATTATCCTCTCTTACTTTCTTTTATATAGTTTGGTTATGCTGTGCAATAGAACAATTATTGTAGCTTCTAGATCTTGAATTACTACTTTGGAAATAAAGATTATAAAAGTTAAAATTACCAACATTAGAACTCACAAACGTTTGTGTGTATTTCCTTATTTTTGAATAAAAGTGCGAATAAAGATCTATAAATTCTAGACACTATGATAAACCCCTCAAGAATATATTTTAGAGAAAAACCAAGTCTCTCTTTTATATGCAACAAGTTTATATCAATAGCTTTTATTTTTCCTTTCAAATGGTTATATAGCCTTATATAAAATCTTATTTCAAATTTAATAATTTTTAAATTCTGATAAACTTGACATTTACTAGCCAAAAAGCATAGAGTACAAATTTAAAGAAGTGACAAGGATACTTTTTTTGCAAAAAATTTAGTTTATGTTCTTATTATAGCATGTAATAAATATTTAAATTAGAAGTGTCCTTTAGAACAATAGTGTGTAGAGAGTTGTGAAATTATTAGGTTTGCTATAACCTTAATATTTTAAAGTTTATAATATTTATACTAAATTACAATTAAAAATTGAACTTAACTCATGAGGTCAACTCTTTAGCTCATGAGCTGATAAGATGTTAGAGAAAAATGCACTTTCTAATCCATTTCATTATGAAGGCCCATTTTTCACTTCTTGTGAGAAGCCTTTCACAGCTGAAGGAGACGGTGCAGATTTGTCAGTTGTGAGCTTTCAAGTAGATCGTATTCATGCACCAATGGCTACAGATCCACACGGATTTCAAAACTTATGAAGAGCCTCCACGGCAAAATGCTTATGCGGCTGTGGAGAAAAGAAGCTCTCGTCAAGCCCTCTTGCTCCTGTCCCTGTAAAACAACTCCATAAGAAACATACCATGCAAAATGACGGCAGACTGAAACGAAGTCTTACACTGTCTTATCTGGCTAAGAGCAAGCAGCTTACGAGCTTCTTCGCACCTATTGAAGACTGCACAAGCATTCTTAGAATCGCTGCAGCATCGTTGATGTCACAATAAGATCTTAAAAGCTATTAAAGTCAAGAGATAAACTGTCTAAGCTTCTAGATGTACTGCACGATGCTTTATCCTGAGAGAGATCTGACCAAACTTGTTGTGATGAATCCGAAGATAACCAAAAATCTTTAAAATACTACCATCATTTGGCGCGGCTGAAACGTTGAGTACTTAAAGTTTCCTTTTCCTCCCGTTCAGCATGCCGGGTAAAGGGGATCTAAAGCGCAAAGTTGAGACTTCTAAGAGTCCATTCCCGCTAGATTGTAGCCTATCTGAATGAGAAATAAAATTGCGATAAAGAGAAGTACGAATGCTTATCAATGAATTCATGAGTAGCGCTATGAGTAATGTTGACTCTTCATGTGTCGAGCCAATGCCACTATTTCATCTGTTAGATCGTTGGAGTCGCCATTTGAAACATAAATAGGACGGCACGTCAGATTTGGTCCCATCTTATAAAAAAAGGTTATATCCCTATAAAAAGGGAGAATTCCTTCATATGGTTTAGGGTTTACATCAGAAAGGAAAAGCATGGATATGAGTTTCTTCTGGCGGATCAAGTTCACACTTCTCTTCCCAAGCTGGGTGCCCGATAGTCCAGTCCACTACGCGTTCATGCTCATGTTGACTGCGGGGCTCGGAGCTCTCCACGAATGGATTGCCCACAAGCACTGGATGATTCTCACTGCCTATTCCACGCCAGGACCCATCATGGTCAAGGATCCGCAGAGAGACTACCCCAAGCAACATGAGGACGCGATACTGATTGCGGTGTTGATGCATGCCGCCTATGTGACCACGAGCTACTTGCTAATGATGATGGCTATGTCGTTCAACGCAGGGATCTTCATTGCAATCACTGTGGGATTGTGCATTGGATTCTACGCCATCTGGCCCCTGGAATCGTCAAATCGTGCCAGGATTGTGCCAGGGCCAGCATCTTGCTAGAGAATTAAGATTAAGATATTCTCTATCTAAACATGGGCTTAAATTATAAACATTCTTATAGTTTAAAAACTTAATATATTATTATTATTATTATGTATATAACAAAATGTATGCTTTATATCAAGGCTTGAGATTTCTCGCTCTTGGCACTCACTCAGATAATTCTCCTTACTGATGGATTCATTAAACTTACAATAGAGATGCCAGAACTTCTCCCTTCTTTCGTTTCTGGGTTTCAAAATGAAATTTAGTTGCAACAAGCCTTAGATATCACTCTAGGATTCTAAGGGATTTTAGAGATTGCGTCCCTTGAACAAAAGTTGCCAAGAACGGGGAAGAAACACCACAATAGCTGCAGCGGTTCCATGATGGCTTTCATGACTTGAGAGGCAAGTTGACGCACCGACTTGATGATGAGAAACACCCATGAAGGCCTTCTCGTAGTTGTGTAGAGCCAGCATTGTCCTCAAGTACTTGAGCTGAGAAACCATCTCCCAGGACTCTAAATCCGATTCAATAGTGGCCCTAGCATATGAATCTCCATAGGGACCTGGAACTTACAAAGAACTACTTCATTTCTTTCTATATCACCTTTTGCAAATCAGTTTCGATTGATGGTGGTGAGTCCATCAAATGTGGGACTCAAACATTTATGCCTCTACAACTGGGACTCAAGCTATAGTATCATATAGCAACATTTCAATGGGTATTTCTTAGGTTTCCAAGAGACTGGGAGAGAGGTCTTAGAAATATAAGTATTTTGATATCATTTTTATATATTTAAAATAGCAAAGGCCTTATAATCCAATCTAAATTTGAATCTAATAAGGATGGTTCAGTAATATGTGTTGCATTTCATTAGGTTTCATGTATTTTTTGGGCTTGAGAAGCAAATTGAGGCTCATTATCTGAAGTTACGTGGACTCCCTAGATTTTTATGGAAAAGAAATATTGTAGGAGTGAGGTTTTAGTCATCAAGTTGGATGTGAGGCATGCCAAGATGTTAGGTAATTGAGTGCTTGCTTAATTCAAGTGCTTTGAAATTATCAAGAAGGAAAACGATTTGCAAAGAAGGCAAGAACATTGTCAAAAAGAAGTTAGACCAGATCAAAGGACTGAATAGACTTCTATGCACCGAGGGCAGCCTCTCAAGCCTTTGAATTTCAGAGTTTGATCAAAGGCAGGTCTTCAGAAGGAATAAAAAAACAATTTTTCAAACAGGTTGCAAAGTGAGAGGACAAACCGCTTGTGGAGTGTTTTTGACAGAGAGCAGTAGAGGAAAAACCGTGATCAGAGAGGTAAGCTCTTGAGTTCTTAAAAACATTTGGCTAATTTACTTTCTAGGGTTGCCAATGTTGATAAAGCTGTGTGAGGGCTTCCTGATACCCACCTTTATTGCCTATAGGCTGAGGGTGTCTACAATCAAAGCCTGCAAAACACATTTGACAAGCTACTTTTTTGTTCTTAGTGTTTTTGTTATTGATGATGTTTTCTTTTGCCAGTTTTAGGTGAGGTACATGGAGGCACCACCTCTTTTGAAAAAGCTCAATTAGAAGGAACTTGTTTTGTGGCTGTGGAATGCAGAGAATTTGATTGTGAATGAGGCATAGCTGTATAATGCTGCACATCCTGGCGGAAATTGAAGCAGTAGGTTGAAGAGCATACGCCAGATGATGGGGGAAGTCTCCGGGAGTCATTCTTATGGTACATTTTCTCCTTCTTGTGTTGTTCTTGCTGACGATTTATTTAGGGTAAGTGATATGCTGCGAGGTTTGGAGCTGACAGTGTTGTCAAGACATGATGCAGCTGTAGACCTGGTTGTTATGAACAGTGCATGTTGGTGGGCATGTGTTGCATGACTCAGACTCGACAGTAACTGTAAGAAAAAAGAGATTTGGATGAACAGCCTTTAAGTTCCATTGAGTTCCTGGTGCCTACTTTATCTAAAGTGGGTTGAGTTTCTCTAAGCTTTATTATTAAGCAATGGAAGAGGAAGAATTTAGGAAACTTCAGACTGTACCTTCACATTTTCTTGTTCCCACTTGACAATGCTGTCACTGAGTACTCAATAAAGAACCAAAGAACCAATCAGATTTTTGGGCAATGAATTCAAAAGAAAAGATTACCGAGTGAAGTTGCAGCAAAAGATTAATAAGCAATTGCACTGGATAACAAATGATAATTAGATGCATATTGTAGGAAAAAGACTCAAGAAGCCAGAAGGAATGCTTGCAAAGTTGATTTGGCTGTTGCAATATAGCAGGTCGATTATGTGGAAACTGTGTTTTGTGTTTATTGAGCAGGTTAGCTATAACATAGGAGAGAGACCATGGACGTTCAGGGCATGTCTTCTGGCAGATAAATTTCTCGCTCCTCTTCCCGGGCTGTGTGCCCAATGATCCAATGAACTATGTGTTTACACTCATGTTCATTGCGGGGTTCGGAGTTATCCACGAATGGATTGCCCACATCCTCGCTGCCTATTCCACGCCAGGACCCACCACCGGCAAGGATTTGAAGAGAGACTACCCCAAGCACGCTCGCTGGCGATCCCGATGGCAGTGGGGATGCACGGTGCTTATGTGACCACGAGCTACACGCTGATGATGGCAATTGCGTTCAACATGGGGGTCTTCATCGCGATCATGGTGGGATTGTGCATTGGATTTTATGCCTTCAGGCCCCTGGATTTGTCAAATCGTTCCAGGATTCCTAGAGGAATGGTGGTTGCATGCTATACTTTAAAAGACTTCTCACGGTGGATGGATATAATATTAATAGGCCCATATTACTTTAAGTTTTGTTTAGCCAAAGTAAAGGCATGCTGGTCCATATTTGATTTGGAAATCTCAGTTCAAAATCATGTATATAGCTCTCCTACCTCTTGCATCCATCTAACTCACTTGCTGGACACTCTTGATGTCTTTAGGACGAGTTCTGGGCAGGACATCGAAGTCTTTTCCCGCTGTGGTCACTGCCCATGAATCCCTGGAGGAAGAGCGCTCAAGGCATTTTTGTTGTAGATATCTTTCACTTTTATTTTACCTCAATGGGATTTACAGGCTGACCAGGCACACATATTGAAAGTTGAGAAGAAGGATGGATGAATCTGTTGGGCCAGTCATTGCTTTGGTTGTTTCCCATAATGATCCACTCTACAGATGGTACTCATACTTCAAGTTCGTGAAGTCCAAGCTGTCATCAATGTCTCTCAATTTGTGGAGACTTCTAGTTTATTCATCGTCCTGGTCTAAAGTAGCAAGGCACCCCAACGTGGTTAAGGTCTATTATGCCAAGGAAGAAAAGCTCCTGGTGTAGACCATGAGATGAGTGTTTGGAGTTGTGTGCCAATGAAACTCAGCCTGTTTGAATTGATGCCCTGCGCTTCTATCACCTTGATGGTCAACCATAGTCAACACCGGTCAAAATGCATTTAAATATTTAAAGATGCCAGCATCAATCTCAGTGCCAAGAAAGCACTTTACCATCTAACCATCTGAGCTACATTGCAAAGTTGAAAATGTGAAGTTTTCATGCATTTCTTCACCATTTCAAATCTGCTATTTTGGGTGTTTAGGGTGTTTATCCCAACTCAATCATCACATGAATTAAGCTGAGCAGCACTAGTGCAATGCTGATCCCAATGCCAGCAATTTAGCGGAAGTAGATCTTTGAGAGAATGGAGAAGCATGTAATTGAGCCAATTTTTCACCCCAAATGGTTTAATTTTGTTAATAAAATATAAGCCTTTATATTGAAGTATTACAAAATATGAATCATGTTCTATGTTTTTAATTTTGACATATTTTAATTTCAAATATTCTTCAATTATTTAAATTCACAACAACACACAATAAAATATTGTGTCCTTAATTATAGAAGCAAAAATGTGATTGCACATGGGAGCATTATAATTACATAAGTGTGGATTTATTTCTTTACATGCAAAAATATTATGCACACAAACACTTTTTATTTGCTATATAAACAATAAATGTGATTGTGTGTATAATATTTTTGTGATATGATATCCCATATATACATGAGGTATGACACCTCAAACTACTATGCAAGACTAATACCATGTCATCTCATATAATATGATGTCATTGCAAATTTAGTGAGGGTCTTTTTTTTTTGTATTAGTGAGTGTAAATTTGTGATCTTTTTATTGTGATCATCTCTCTCCTCCTTTACATATTTTTTATTTGCCTCTCATTTTGCATGGCTATACCTCATTTCTCGTAGTTTTGAGGTATATTTTGATTGCAGTGCGCACTAATATATTTTTGGCATTACAATAATTTATTGCACTTGGACTTAATATGGACAGCACTTTTTGTTACCTTCATCAAAGAAAGTGCTTTAAATATGCAGTGATGGAGAGCTTAGCTTATAATATCTAATAGATGTTCAAAATACAATTCACACTCAATCTAAACCTTGCAAATGTGTAAAAAGATCTGATGTAAAGTTCAAATTTATGCAACACAAAAATTGTATATATAACATTGATATGGATTTTTCTATACATATGTAGTAGACATTAAAAAATATTATGCTCAAAATATTATTTTGTAAGTCATAACAATTTAAGCACACATATTTTTTTTTTTATATTTGTAGGCTTATATAATTTCTTGCCAAGCCACCCATCCCAGATACACCTCCTCTCTTGGGAGGTGTACCTCCCCCCCAAAACTACTATCATAAATTGTTTGCCATACTTAATCTACTTAAAAAATATAAAATATTTATGATAAATGTGCTCAACCAATGTTATATAGATATGAAACCAATTTATGTGTGTTTAAAAATATTTTAAACATATATCTTAAGAAAGCCTAAACATCCAATGGTAATTTAATGTTTTTCAAAGTTGAAATGAGATCTTTTATAGAAATAATTTACTAGCAACGCTTAGTCTGATTAATAGTAGTCTTATTCATATTTATTAATCTAATTAATCAATGGAAGTTTATAGTTAGAAACATGTTTAT